CAGCATGACATCAGTGATCAACACATTTCGCTGCCGTACAAACATGACTTATTTGAATGCCTTATTGTGAAGAAAAGAGTAAAGGTGGACGGGGGGCTTATTGCTGGCTTACCACAATCATTCTGAGGTGCCTACATCTCCACACACTCATTCAAGCAATATGGATAGAAACTGCAAACAAGGACGCCACTGACATCGGTTGGCAGCCATATCTTGCAGTGTCTCCAACTAAGCGCAGTGGGGATCACACGGTCCATATCCTGAAAAGTGAGTAGCGCCGTGATCTTCATACCTCTCTGTCAGGTCAAAGGTTGGCCACCACTCTGCTTCTGCCACTGTGAGTTGGGTACGGAAAACAGTACTCTTCAGCAAACGATGGCTAGGCATACGCAACACATGTACCAATTAACGCAGCTTCTGGTGCTGAGCACATTCTTCAATGGAAGTAACCTTTGCACAGCCGAAAACTCGCTTTCTGATTGCCTCGCTACCGACACCAATCCACATGAGCTACGGTTCTTAGACAACGATTGCCGAACACCTGAATGTCTCAGTTCTGCCGCTCGAATAGGCCAAATCTCACAACCGTTCAACAAAACGGGCTACCGAATTCTCTGTTCCCAAGAGCTATAGCCCATCGGGGGGCGAGATGGCTCAGTGGTTAGAGCGCGAATTTACTGACCGAAGGGTCCGTGGTTCGAACCCCACATCTGCCCATCGACTTCCCCTGTCTAGGCTTAGGCAACCTGGCAGTACCCCAGCCCTCGTGCTTCCTTCGGGTTGCATGACAGCTAGGCACCAAAAGGGTGCTGCAGCTGAACGATTGTTTGTTGTTGAAAGTTGCCTTTTATTCCTTTGATCGTCAGAATATATGGCAGCATATTGCAGTTATCACCATATGAGAGCACTACTGCTTCACTGCCAAATAATTATGCCAATTTGCCTGAATAGAGCCTTATGATGGAAAGAAAAAAATGGGCACGCAGAGGACCTGTCGATAGTCTGCCATAAACATCCAACCTGTCTGCACTTTTAACAATCGATCGGACAATCTCGATGGAAACTAAATAAATGAACACTACTAACATCGGTTAGCTATCGTTCAGGATCTGCAGTCAAGCGTAAGAAGGGACAAGTGGATCTTCATCACCATCATCAAAGACAGTGTTATCAGTGTCGACCACCATAAGGTTTGTCAGTTATATTTAAAGCCCTGGAGTGAAAAGAAGAGAACAAGAGTTGGTGAGGGAGGGGACCTAGCGCTGGCCTGTGTCAAGCCTTATGGGGTGCCTGCACCTCCAAGCGCTCAATCAGATAACTGAAAGAAACTGACAGAACGAATACCACTGACATCGGTTAGCCGTCATTTCTTGCAATGTCTCCATCCAAGCACAGGTGCGTCACGGAGACCCAATCCTGGAAGTCGGAGAGTACCAACGGCACCAAAAATTCTCGTAACCTTCTTCATTTCCTTCTGTCATGCTAAGTTATTTCCACTTCTAGGTTTCGAATTGGGTCATGAAAGCAACATCCTTTCAGAGTTCGCTTCATTACTTCATTGTTGGCAAAATTGAAACAGAAAGTTGAGATTACGGACATCCTTATCGGATACCACTGTTTGTAGTAAAGCTGCTGGAGAGCAACCCATACACTCCGGCGCACCGATCAGTATGGGAATGCAACCAGTGCATGCGTTGTGAAACGACCGAATTGATCAAAAGAATTGAACTCACTCTTCAGGACAAGGAGCGTAAAGCTTGCATGACACCTATAGTCATGCTGCTACCCTAACACTTAACGGGCCGTGGAGTGATCCACACAACCTTTTCCCGACTGTTCTTGGGTTGTGCCTTCATTCTTTTTCGTAAGACAGCGTAAACTAAGAGTCTAGATACAGCAGAAGTCAAGCTGATTCCTCTGTGGTTGCCATACTCACTGCGAGTGCCCCTTTTGGAAATGGGCACCACTATTGACACATTTCACTTGGTTGGGATAATCTCGAGACAAATAAGTTAAACAAGCATTGATTTCATCCTCATGTTTAAAAAGAGTGGATTGGAGTTTATCAGGACAGAAGTTCGATGACGCTTGAGGAGCAAAAGGCATTCGCTTCAACCCGGGGTCTGAAGTTCACTGTCCAGGAATGCTTTGCGAGTGGGAAATCGGACTGTCCAACTGCAAGTGGCCAGCTGAATTACTGAAAGTGTTCAACCGAATGACAGGCGTTTTTTTGGGGGGGGTTCAGGACAAGGAGCGTAAAGCTTGCATGACACCTATAGTCATGCCGCTGCCCTAACACTTAACGGGCCGTGGAGTGATCCACACAACCTTTTCCCGACTGTTCTTGGGTTGTGCCTTCATTCTTTTTCGTAAGACAGCGTAAACTAAGAGTCTAGATACAGCAGAAGTCAAGCTGATTCCTCTGTGGTTGCCATACTCACTGCGAGTGCCCCTTTTGGAAATGGGCACCACTATTGACACATTTCACTTGGTTGGGATAATCTCGAGACAAATAAGTTAAACAAGCATTGATTTCATCCTCATGTTTAAAAAGAGTGGATTGGAGTTTATCAGGACAGAAGTTCGATGACGCTTGAGGAGCAAAAGGCATTCGCTTCAACCCGGGGTCTGAAGTTCACTGTCCAGGAATGCTTTGCGAGTGGGAAATCGGACTGTCCAACTGCAAGTGGCCAGCTGAATTACTGAAAGTGTTCAACCGAATGACAGGCGTTTTTTTTTGGGGGGGATAACCGCACGGTTGCTACTAGTGACTGTTTTGCTCATCACAGTCCTTTTTAGGCCCGTTTATCAGCTGGTGTTTCAACGCATATTCCTTAGTTTCTCGCTTTCATCTCAGCTTTCTAGACACACCGCTCTTTCCACGCGCGCGCTCCTTTCCAACTGACTGATGATTCATCGGGTTTTGTTGTACCATCGACCAGGAGTATTACGTATCTAAGCTTCGCCTAATATTGGGGTTTTGCTCCAACTGCAGTGCTTGCATGTACCTGGTTGTTCCGTTTACAGGCGAACCGGTACGGCAGCGAAGCGTCAGTGCTGATGTTATGTTATCGGTGATGACAAGCGAAGCGCCTTGCATCTTGCAGGGAGGCAGAAACTACCGGCAGCAACAGGCCTATTGTCCGAAATGGACTTCTGTAGGTGGTTTTGGTCGATTCGCTTCACACCAAGATCCATAGCCAGATGAAGTGCTTGAATTTTATATAAGAAGGGCGCCCCTTCTACATCCATAAAGACTATGTGCACGTACGTGTCTATAACGAGTACTTCTGAGTTCACCACATGCAGTGGTGTCAGCCCTTTCAGCTTCGTACTTGATGTTCTCCTCGGGTCTTCTTTTCCTTCCTCTGACACCTCGGAAACCGAATTACTCGCATTGGGTTCCGCCATAGGCATCTGGTGCACTGAAGATGTCGTTGCTCTTGGATGAAACCCTTTTGGAATGCAAGCTGGTTTAAGCAACGTAAATAGTCCTGCTGCATGCTTCGACATACGCTTTACACATGAGAGGTATAAGACTTAATGGGATTAAACTCGAACATGATGCTTGGTGATGAACTGATCGATATGGTAGGTAAATTTGTTTATATGGGCAGCCACATAAGTTCCGGTGGACTTGCGGAAAATAAAACAACTTTCTTAATGGAGAATGCTGGGGCACCTTCTACTGACCTCCGACATCAGTTCGCTCTGTCCCATTTCATGGATGGCCGATATGTGCAGACTTTCTTCGAAGACTGTGTTTAACCATTGAGGCCTCTGAAGCACGGGATGGGTCTGACAGGAACATCAGATCAGAAGTGTTGAGTTACCCCAGATGGTTTTTTAAAGGTAACTTTCCTTCAATAGAGCAGTTGGTCACACTCCATGAGTTATGCCGGTTTGACCATGTACACCGCATGCCTCGTAGAGTCCTATTCGCCCAGTCGTGTTCCGGATGCGGATGGCCCCTGGGGGCAACCAGTCCATACCGTGGCAATGAAGCACTGAAGCGTTTTGTAGCCAGTCTGGTCGTGTTGGTAACTGCCGTTTCCTTAATTCAGGACTTTTGGACGAGACAAACAGATGGTTAGTGATCCTGGTAAATATGACTATGCCACGCAGCCTGCATCACCGCGAAGCTCTCATGCCCCCCATTACACCAAACAAACGGAACATCGATGAATTCATCCGTCGCCATAAGAATGTGGCAGTTGTTCCCTTATTCCTCTTATCCTCTTTGAACGAATCTATAGCAGATTAAACCACTGAACCTTGGCACACGGTTTATTTATGAAAAAAGATAGAACATTTTGCTCTGTGAGAGGTGACTTTATGTCTTCCCCTATCATTTCCAAGCGGGCGAGATGGCCCAAATAGTTAGAGCGCGAATTTACTGACCGGAAGGTCCCTCGTTCTAATCCCACCTCCGCCTCTCGACTTCCCCTGTGTAGGCTTGGGCAACCTGGCAGTATCCCAGCCCTCGTGCTTCCTTCGGGTTGCATGGCAGCTAGGCACCGGAGGTGCTACAGCTGAACGCATTTCCAAGCACATTTAGAACTTCGGTTACCCCAAAGTTCCTAATTGTCTAATTAGAAAGTGATAAAAGTATAATACTAAAGACACCCCTTCGGTAGCCAGCTGCCATGTCACACGAGGACTGGGATGCCGCTAGGTTGTTCAATCCTAGACAAGAGAAGTTGAGATGTACAGATTGGGCTCTAAACACAGACCTTGCGGTCGGTAAATTCGCGCTCTAACCACTGAGCCATCTCGCCCATGTTAAAAGGTGGTGTGGTACTGGATTACTTGTTCTCAGCTTGTCATGTCTAAGTTGGTTATCAGGACATATCATTTCTCCTTTCAGCTGTCTACCATGGCTTCCTTGTCATTCAAAGATGTTAACGAAGAAGTGGAATATTGGCGACGGATGGCAGAGGAATACAAACAAGCGTGGGTTTTTCGCTACTTTACGTTTTTATTTTGTTCCCATGAATAGCATGGAAGAAGCTCGTGAGGAGCTGGAGGATTTTCAAATCAGTTCTCGGGAGCTTGAGCGCGAGTTAGAAATACAATTGGGACAGTTGGAAAAACAAAATGAAGCGCTTATTCTTTCAAATGAAAAGCTAATCTCAGAGAGGGATCAGTTACGAGTAAGTTTTGTTTGGTATGCCTAACAGCTATTGGTGGGATGTCCACTAGTTACCTTTTCAGGACAAACCATGGTTAAACTATTGTCTGTAGTGTGGCCAGATGGATTTCCTTTTCCATTATGACATCCTTTGTGTTTCTCCGCTGTGAACTACTAGCGTCTCCCCTTCTCTTCGTACAGGACCTCCAAGTTTATTGACTATTCCTTACTTTGGCAGCTTAGGTTTCGTTGCGACTCATAGAGCTTCCATCTCTAAGATTTCAGCTCCAACTGTGTTCGTTTCAACAACAAGCACAAGTGTGTTCTCTTAGTCGATCTTGTGGATGTCGAGCAACCAGGAATTCAAAAGTCATTCAACAGTTGCCTTTGGGGACGGAGATGTAACTGACCAAAAAGTTGGGAAATGATAAAACGTTACGACGCCCCTTTTAGAGCAGCGGATGCGATCGCTGTAGGGGCTGGATCGGTGAGGAGGAGCCAATGGTTCCGGCTGTACCTCTACTTTCTGGGAGTATTGCTATTGTCTATCCTCATTGTTCTGGTTCAATAAGCTCCACTGGCTTGACCTGACATCATAGTAGGATAAGCAAACTGAAACCGACTATGGAGTCACGTATGACTTCTTACCCTGACGTTGAATTTATCTCCCAAACGCCCATGGTTTCCATATAAGCCCAGTATCAGGTGATTCGTTAGCTCAGGGATAAATTAGTGACAGGTTGTCATCTGTATCCGACTCTTTCTCGAACTCCGTGCCAAGCCCGTTGTTTCAGGGGATGTTTTCAAGTGTCCAGTGTCGCGTACTTGTTAGATGTGACCTCTGCCCCATCATGGCTTTGTCCACCGATTTATCGGAAGTCTTGTTGGTGTCGGATGGCGTCAACGAACTAGTGACGAGGTTATTAGAAAACGAATATTTGGTTGTATAGCAGGTAGTACTTCAGTCGTAAAAACCATCCGGGACCATCAACTGCGATGGATCGGTCGTGTGTTGTTAGTGCTAAAACGTTGTCTTCCGGGACAGCAGTTTTTCTCCATACCTCCTTCAGAATGGCGCAAACTGCGAAGTGGACAGCACTGACTTGGTGGAAATGTAACAAAGAGATTACGAAGAGTTAAAGTCTCGTTGGTGCTGTCCGCCTTCCTGGATGTCCCCATGGCCCCCTGTGCTTGGCTTGGGGCACTGCAGGAAATGGCGGTTAATCGGTGCCAGTAGCGTTCGTGTTGTCAGTTCCTTTCCAGCTATTTTGACTGATCGCCTGAAGGTGTAGATACCTCACATTATTTGCCATGGACCAGCGCTGGGTTCCCTCTCATTTATTCTTTCCTCTTCTGTTCATTGTAAGTCTTTAAATATAGTTAGACACAGTATGGTTGTACGCCAGTGAAGCCTCAGTATCAACACTGATGTTGCTATCCCTGTTGATGGTGATGAGTGTCCTACAAAACCATCGTTAAGAGAGTGGTCGCACGAGTGTGGTTAGTGCGTTAGATGAAGTATAAATGAACAGAGATTGCAACCATTTTCAGTTCGATCCTTAACCTTGATAACATATGCTTACATGAATGTGCGCGCATCACGTCTGCTCAAAAGGAACGGTGTTTGGTTTTGAAAACCTGTTAGTTTCATGCATTTCAAAAACTAGCCCCCGATGGCATGGGATTGCAGTTCATTCGCTGTTATTTGTTTATGGTAAAAGAGGTCGCAAGTTCGTTCAACATCTTTCTATTGTTGCACTGTTTTTTTGCTACGAACTCGACTGTCGAATGTAACGAATGGAGACCCAACCAACTAACCGAATAGATTTTGAAGTAATTATGTTCTCTGTAAAGGGCTGCTTTGAAGTGCATTTGAAAAGTTAGCCGTTTTAACGATAGTGTTATTCAGGCACTATTTATTTTCTACTGATTTTGTAAGGTTTTTACGAGAGTATCAATTAGAGACTAGTTACTCAGAGCAGGGACACCATATTTCAGCCCATTTGTCGCCCTAGGAAGGTGAGTTTCTGGGGTTCAGATTTCTGAGCTTATCCCTCTAATTGGTTTGGGGACGCTCTGAGATCCCATTTCAAAGGGCTCAGCTGGTCGGTTTTTACACTTTATAGTCATGTTGCAATGGTAGATAAAGTGCTTTGAAAGTAGCGTGGAAGAATCTACGTAAAACAGGTGTAAAAAAATCCGCTTTCCGAGTTGATCTGTTACTTTGTTGTTCAAAGATACTGGTCATTATCCGGCGGATAAGCCTCAATTGGAGGGATGCAGTCATGCGGCGCTAGAGTCTGAGCAACAGAGTTTCTAAATAGCTTACAGTAGTAGGGACACATGGCTTGAGGAACATATACACATGCTGTGATGTGGATCCTTTTACGGACAGCTGAACGCTAATCCTCTGCTCAGCGGTTAGTCTTGTTGCCCATAGACTTCAGTGAAAGAGATGCGTTACACGAGAGTGTTTTCCCGTGAAGCACTACTTGTAAGGTTGCTGATGACTCATCGATAGCCCATGACCTGTTTCGTCCTTCTTGGGGATCACCAGGTATATGCAGTCTCTGAGTGTTCCTCAACCTTATCTTCTACTTGAAACTAAATTGCTCGAACTTCGAGAAATACACTAATGTACCAGTTTGGTTTTCACAAGAGACTCATCTGAATCCTAGCTGAATCTCTCGTTTATGGTCTTGCTCAACTGCATGTGTTGAATAAGAACATCATAAACCAGAGATCCAGTTGCAATTCAGTCGAGTCTCCCATGAAAACTAAACTGACATGCAAATGAGTGTATTTCGCCAAGGATGTGTTCCCATTTTAAGGTTCGTTTAGATCACAGATACTACCTTTTTCTCTGTTTAATTTTTTATCTTGTGTGCTCTTCAATTGTGTTATCTGTTCTCATCGCAAACCACTCTCCACTGTTGTTTATTTAGTGTGATGGTCCAACGAATTTTCAGTCACGACCAGTTCTTATAAAGTTACAGACTTACCTCATCCGACTTAACCCCTTTTGCAGGAACGGCTGGATAGTGGTCAAAACAATGCAAATTCCGAGCTTACCAAGTTACAGGAAGAACTGGCTCGGTATAAAAATGAAAAGGAGCAACAGCAGAGGTATATTCGTGAAATGGAACAGCGAAACGATGATTTGGAACGGGCTAATAGGTAAATTCTCTTATTCACTACTTTTGATATTGATTGCCTTTCAGAGCAACTGTCGTGTCATTGGAAGCATTTGAGTTGCAACTCAATGAAGCCATCGAGCACAATGCCATACTGGAGAATGAATTAGATGAGAAAAAAGATCTCATTGTAACTGTTCAACGGCTGAAGGATGAAACCAGAGGTAAGCTTTGGTAGGTTTAGCGAGTGATCCCCGACCGAATGGGGAGTTTTTTATTTATCTCGTAGTAGGAATCGACTGAGATACTTACAAATACAAATTGGCCTCGAATTGAATATTTTAGTCACTGGCTTCCGCGCAAGAGGCCCCTTTATGTACCAGTTATCATATAGATATGGGGGATATATATATATATATATATATATATCTGGTTGAATGAGCAGCTATTCATATGTTGGGAATTTCTCTTTCAATCACCCATGGCGTTTGCCTGTTTCTCAACAAAATCGGGCAAGTCAACCAACTGCTTGATGACAAGCGTAGAGCAAATGCTTACTATTCGAAAACATCGATCCCCTGCTGTCCTAGCTTCTCACCTTACAGAAGTGACCCCGTTGTTTTCGTTTTCCTCAAAGTCTTGAACACTATTATTTGATGTGTTGGGACAAGAATCCAGTCAGTTATATCATCGAAAGGGAATTATCAAGTTTCTGGCGAACGAATTAACACTCGATTCAAACATGTTGCCATTCATGAAGCAGGACTAGAGTTTGAAGGCCTGAGAGCGTGCTGTCTGTATGCAGTGTATACCCCTCCCATTCTATTTTCCAGACGGGACATACTACTCTTAGGGTTGCTGGAAACTCTCCGATGACCCACGATCTGTATTTTTCTTTCTCGGGGCTGGTGAGGTGGGCTCGCTGACTGAGTTTCTGTCAACTTTAGGATCCGTTTGAACTTAAATTGTAAGGAATCCTCACAATACTAAGTTAGTTTCATTGGGAGACCTAACGGAGTTCACCCGAATTTCTTGTATATACGGCACGAAGCCGTCTCATGTTGGGGTGATATTTGAAATACTGAAATACATTGTCTAGGGGAACCGTGAACGATAGGATCAGCGGGAATCAGTTGCGTCTCCCATTGAAACCAGACGGCTGCGCAGCTGAGTATATTTCACGAAACGGTTCTGTTGTTTATACTTCGACTGTTGCTTGAGCCTTCAAGATTCACGTTTATATTATCTTACCATTCACGTCGTGTATCTGGTATCTCGAATATTCAATATAATATGATAGGTCTTTTCTTGTTTGCTTAGTCCCATGTAATCCTTTGATTTTTTTTAGATCTCCAGCAGGAATTAGCCGTCATTCGGAGGCAACCGGCAAGCCACTCCGCAAGTTTTTCCAATGGTCACCTTAACGATGTTTCCGCCCCATCCAAACGTAAGTATCGTTTTCATTTTCATATATTTGGTCTTACGTGCACCGCTAACACATGTATCTTTGCAACAGGGAACGGGCTTTTTCTGGTACGATACTTTTGTAATAGTTTGAAATGGGATAACTCTCTCGTTCAGCGGTAACTGCTGGGCGATTTTCGGTGCTGGTCAACCTTCAGCAATACGTGCTGGATTGTAGTTGATAAAGTGATCCGCATTCTATTCGAAAACTCTTCGGAGAGTTTTCAGCAACTCTGTAAGTAGCTTCCTTTATGACCACTTGATGAGTTTCACTTGTTGGTCTAGTGATTCCGATCCACCACCAAGGACTCACTTACACAGGAATACGCTGTGACCAGCTAATGTCTATGCTGTGAAGGCACCGCTGATCATGCGTTTGAATCTCCCTAATGTCGTCGGATCGGAGAGGCGAAGTTTCACAACCACACAGTAAGAGAGCTCTTAGTCTCCATTTACACGCGGCCCTTTAGCTTCAAGCAAAATCCGTTTCTGACGCCATAGATAATGCACGTTTACAAGTGTTGTCTGCGCTGTGATAATACCTGTTTTGAATCGATCGGGTTTTGCACAAACCTTGCCACAACACCTTTGTTGCATTCAACTACCCTCGTTTTGCAGACTCCTAAAAATGCGTACGCGAGACTCCTGAGATTGCTTATAGCGCGAACTTATTGATCAAAAGGCACTGTCTAGGCTGTTTCGGCCCTCGTGCTTCATTCGGATGATGTGGTAGCTAAGTACCAAAGGGGTGTTACAGCTGAACGATTATCACCACTCGTTATTTTTTAAAGCCACTGATCACTGGCCACTCTGGTGCGAAGTGATTGCTTCATGTGGTTATAAATTTAGGAAATCAAATTACTCGTTGGCATTCGCTGGTCATTTGCAGTATTTTCATTGTCCCTTGAAGGACGTGATAAGCCTGAAGCGTTTTACACTTTGATTTGAAATGGTTATTATAAGTGTACGAGAGGAACTAACTGTAGAAGTTTTCATACAGGCAAATTGTCAGTCCTAAACGTGTAACCAACTAAAGGTTCCACCCACTTGGTTATATGACGTCTTGGTGGGTGTTGTTGCCGTCACTGGCATCACATGATCGCTAATCACACTTCTGCGCACGTGATATGTAGGAATTGAAATGGTAATTTGATTCACTCGGTTCCTCTGGTAATTTTAGTAAGGGTACATTGGAAACCATAACAACATATGCCATTATGAAATATTTACCCAGAAACCTGATCACCGAAATTCAATATTCAATGTCTAAGTAGAGGAGGATCGTTAATTTACTGCTGTTTTCGCGGTATAAGCCGCGAAATAGCTCGGTGGTTAAAGCGTGAATTTACTGACAGGAAGATGCGTAGTTCGAACCAAACCCTGGGGTCTCGATTGCTCCTGTTTAGGTTGGGCAACCTGCAGGCCTCTCAACCGTCGTGATTCCTTCGGAAGATATAGCAGGTATGCACCGAAATGTGTCATAGCCGAACGATTATCATTGTTTTCATCGTGAGTTGCTGTTTTAGGTTGCGTGTTTGTAGGTTGTAGCTTGCGAACTCTTAACAAAGCTGCTGATATTCCCATCAAGATATGCGGATGAGTAGAGCCAATTCAATTGGATCACCCCCATATTCATTCTCCACATTACTGATGCTTTCACGATAGGCTCTTTACCGCCCACTACTCCGAATCGCATTGAGCACTGACCGGTGTAAAGTATTAGAAAGATCCCTTTCTATCTAAAGACTAAAGGTCCGAATCTGTTCGGAAACACAAACTGAATGGTTCCTCTGAAAGATTTATGGGTTTCGTTATTTGGTCTACTAATATCCCCGTTCATCGTGTTCTGTGTCCCCAGATTCAACTGAAATCATGGTCCAAACCGAACCGTATTCCGTACCCGCACCGTTACTCACTCCATCCACCCGGATAGCCGCTCTTAATATGGTCAATGATGCGCTGCAAAAAATCGGGGTAGGTTTTCTTTCCGTTTATCTCCAGTAGTTGCCTGTTTCTTGTGCAAGTGAAGCTTATTTGGACACTGAAGTCACATGGACCTATGTCATGTGATGCGCGGCAGTATTTTCAGTTGATTGAACACATACAGTTGCTCGTGATATCAAAGTGCGTGATGCCTTGCAACCTGACCTTCGGTATATTGTGTGCATGTACATTTAAGGTCATTCGTGCAAGGAAAGACCAGAACAACCTGAGGTTCATGTGCTCTGTGAGATTTTATTGGCGGCTGTCCGATTGACTTGTTTCAATTATACCAACCACGGTATCACCCTTCACAATTCCCTTGTGAGCGACAACTTCGCTTGCTTGTTTCATGTTTAATTGTTCCAGTGTGCGCATAATCTGGCCTATTTTTTCCGTTTTAATTCACGTCAGCCTTATTAAAATTCTCAGTCATGAATTTCGTTCCGGAGGCCAAACTCAGTCCATACTGAAAGGCTAATTCGGTAAAATTGGCAGCCCATCTTACGAATCTCCAGAGCGATTCTATTTGCCTGCAGGGTAGGAATAGAATTTTCTACCACTCAGCCACGGTGCCTGGTCAGCCGTGTGCTTGACTCGTATTTGGGCAGCACGTGGTGGTGAATCGTCCCCTAACCGCGTGGTTCATTATCACATAACGATACGAATGGGGAAATAGGTAGGCAAATATTGACCCAGTAATTTTGGTTTATCCGTTGAAATGAGAGTAATTAAACACACTTTATTTGTGCGTTTAGAAATGTCACTACAGGTTACTTACAGCTTGCAGCGTCCAACTCTAAATTAGGCTGCTCAGCCTACCCGATCAAGCTTACTCCCTAGCTGCGCCCGTTCTCACTAGTTCAGCTTTCCACCACGACTCACGAAACAATATCAGATGGTGTTCCTTGATCGAAACCACTTTATCTAATAGCCATGATTCACCGTGACCTTGCCTTTGCTCTCCGAAACTAGGGTTTCTTCGGGCAGGTTTTTCCCTGCTATCTGAGCCTGTCTGGGAGCATCAGATCTTACGCCTGGCGACCCAAAGGTGTTTCATATCAGTCCCTGCCATTGCCGTCGTATTTCCCTCACTGGAAGCTTTTTTAAAACAAGAATTACGGAGAGCCTTTTAAGCTAAGAAATCCGCGCGAACCGCATAGAATGCATAATCCAGTGGTACAACTGGTAGTCTCAGAGTACCTCGCCGCGTGTTAATGGACATTAGATCTCAGGTGAGCCAGCATGCTTGCAGTGACTTGGTCAAGAGAGCATTGCGTTCTTATTCAGGCCAGGTTATTAGGGTCGATTCCAACACCTGTTTAGTTGTTGACTCCTTGAAAGGTTCTATACTTTCGGTTAAGCTTTGGTGGTCTTCGAAGCTTAGACTATTAAGCCGTAGACTATTAAGCCAGCGTTTCGTTAGTAGAATCGCTAATTCAAACTATAAGCTTTATTTTGCAGCTCAGTTGGACAGGCACGGAATCACTGGGTCATGTGACCCCTGCTGACAAATTTACTGCTGTTTTCTGTTATAGGAAATGGTACGATCTCCATTTATCTAGCACCCCAAAAGGAAGCTGCCCCATAGCAGAATCATCCATTTCCTATGGTCTGCTCTCTTGTATGGAATGTGTTATGGAAATCTCAGTATGAAGAGACCCTGTAAAGCGAATCACATGTAGTACTTATCCTTCATTAAAGTAACTATGGGTGACTAAAAAAATATTCCATCGTAGGTTATGGACTAATAAAACCATATCTCATGCGTTCTGCGTTGAGTTCTGAAGTTTGATTGCTATCCGGGTGCTTTTAGCAAATAAATTTGGGATAGCGTTCCCCATTTTGTCTGAACTGGTGTTTCCACTTGCGAGATTTTATCGTTATGTGTTTAATTGTGACGTCTGAGTGTCGATAGTGACGATATTGATTCTGCTCCGTTAACAGCATCTGGAGCTCAAGCTATCTCAGCTATATCGGTCATACGGTGCTCCGCCCTTGTCGGCTCCCCCAAATGCATTCGTTCCTCCCGCCCTACCTGGTTCGCCATTCGGTGGCACGTTGAACGGGGGCTCTGGAAAGATGCCCAATTCGCATTCTTATCAACGGCGTGGTTCTTTGCGGTCCTGGACGAACGGATTGATGTGAGTTTTTGCCTGACTAGCCGATTTAGCGTTCCTCTCTCATTCTCTAAACTAAACTCGTTCAATAACAATCGTGCTATTCTACTGTCTACACTGAGATATCGGTTAATTAGTGCTCACTACTTGACTTTGTTCCTCTTATTTTGTGTGGTTCGCCTCTTTTTTGTGGTGATTTTCATCTTTTTTTATTATTTTCTTCAAGTTCGTGTGTCGACTCTAGCTACCTATATGACTTCCATGTTGCCACGTGATCTAAGCCCATGGGACACTAGAGTTCATTTGGATTATTGATCTAATGGTTTCAGGATTCCAGTTCACAGTGTGCTAGTTTCTTGTCTTGAGTTGATCGATGTACATCTGTGCTCCAAACCTGTCACAATCCGCGTTGCGTATTGTTTTCGGTTTGCTACCGCCTTGGGTTTTGCTCAGCATACATCTTTTCCGTTTTCTGGCCCTTGATGTGCAGTAAAAATTTTTGCCACTCCCTCCTCTCTCGGTTAATGCACAGAAAGCCGTACTATTTCGCTCACGTCACTTTATGGTTTTCGTAGGAACGTTCCATGGTGTCTGTTTGGTGGGGTACAGCATCAAATCACGTGGTTTTACAACGGGAGTCATCGGATAGTAACCTGAACCCGTCCCTGATAATCACTGGAAGTGAATCACGCTCCTGTCATGTACTAGGCGTGTGGTTAGTTTCATAGTCAGAATTGGTCGTCGCGCACTTGCGCAGATCAGATTTACAGAATTAGAGCACCTTATTGGAAAGTTAAAAATGGCAAACCAGCATGTAGGTTTTAATGCTCTGAAGATGAATGTGGAAACAGCAACTGAATTCAAATGAACAACCGATTATAGTGATCGGTCGTGGTATGGTATTCACATCAGTTCAGTATGTCAGCGGTTTGCCAAAGGCATGCTGGTTCCAGTTGCAACGGTTTCGGTCATCAAAAAATTATACAGCAGAGGAGAGAGCGAAGCGTCGAGGGCATTGGCATAATTGTTTGGTAGATTTTGGGTCATTCCGTTGTCTGAAAAAGCCGGAAGCTGAGCGCCTGCGGGATGAAGCAGATGCAGAGGTGCCACCGAATTCATCAACAAGCCACGTGTCATTAACGGGTGATGAGTCCCATGGCCATCATCCAAGGAACACAGCTGTCAACCGAATGAATTTACCGGGTGATACTTCCACATTTCGTTGCCAGGTTAAAGACTGTCCACCTCTCTGTCGATTCTATTCGGAACGGGTTTATTCAAAGGAGCGCTGCCAAACACACGAAGTCCATACTTCAGCCAGCGTTACTTATGTCGACTGAATGTTCTTTACCAAAACCATCTAGTGTATCTCTGCACTGCAAATCAGAGGAGATGTAAGCAACAAACTGTGTGCCCCTACCGTCCATACTGTATGTAGCAAGTAAGGTGACCCGGATGATGACACCACTCGACGGCAATGAGTTGTTTTAGCTGTTTTCAGTTATCAGATTAATGGTTGTGTGCTGGTTGGCATCCTCCACCCAGAAAGGAGTAGGATCAACGTCCTCGACCAAAGCCTTTTGCCCACGTGGTAATGGCTTTTGGCGGGAAATGCCAGTGCGCAATCTTTTCAAAAGAATAAGTTGCCACATATGTTTCGGCTCTCAACTTATAGAGCTAGGAGATTGTTGGTCATACCTCTGATCACCGACCAACCTGGCATGAGACTGAGTTTCAGGCAGTCATACCGCAGGACAGCCCAATGGGTCACGGAGACAAACGAACCGTCACACCGTGGTAAGGGCCCTTCTCTTTGTGACAGTAGTTGAAACGATTTGTATCTTTGAAGGATCTGAACCAAGGAAGGCAATATCGTCCGCGTACTCAATGTCTGTGAGGGAGCGCCCAGGGAGGTTTCGGTTCCCGAACCAAGGAAGGCAATATCGTCCGCGTACTCAATGTCTGTGAGTGAGCGCCCAGGGAGATATTCGGTTCCCAATGTTTTGGAGGTAGCTATAAAAATTACAAGCAGCGCCACAATAAGAAGAAGTTTCTAGAGGAATGGTTAGACGGATCAGCATTCTTAAACTACTTGACATGATAAACTCAGACGAAAGATAACTGTATATTCACACGCACTCACAAGAGTTCGCATGCAGTACCCTCACAAAGAATGTAAATTTAGAAGAAACCTCTCTGATCGCCAAACATCACCGGAGTCCTGATGGTCGGCAGAGTTCAAAGCAGCTCTGTGATCAATAAAGATTAATAAAGTAGGACGTTTGAAAGATTGTAGTTACTCAAGAACTTGTCTGAAGCTATAGATATGGTTGATTCACCTCGGCTGGAGTGAAACCCAGTTTGATTCTCACTAGTTTCCGTCTTTCGTAGTTGGTCAACCTGTACAAAGTGGTGTCATATCGCGTTCGAGGAATGATATTTCAAGCTGGATTTCTGTTGTTGACGGCTGGCTGGTATCGATGTTCTTGCTCTTTACCGTGTTCAGTCGATCACTGGAGACGAAAATTCTCTGAAATAATTACCGTTCCACCTTTTTCGCAATTTGTATTGTCGACACCCTTTTGCTTTTGGTCAGTTGGTCGGATGAACTGAAACAGGGTGCCTCTGTGGCCTACCGCAGAAGCACTGATCATCTGTTGGGCCTTCACAATCCACCAGCGTTCTGTCATTTTCCAGATTCTTGGTTATCCGGTGTGTGGAAGATCTGTGTGTACCATCCTAGTCGCTAACTACCGATATGGCGTTTTTGACATTGATCAGATTTACTGTTGTCGAACATATCCAATCTTCACTTGGTCCAATCAGGGATGGTTTGGATGGACGGGTCTAGAAAACGAAAGTATAGCCACCTTCACTGTCACTCTCGAAATCCAGCCAGTCTTCGCCATCACTGTGACTGCGTTTTCACTAACTGTACGTAGATAAGCTCGATTTTGTTGAGCTACTGAGACTAGTCGAAGTGGATATACGGAAATGATGTGCTTAGGTGCGCATAATATTTATAGAAAGCGAAACTATAATTGAGCCTGCACAATGGCAACCAAGTTGCTTACCCCAGAAGAACGACACTCCTTGATTTGGGCTCCCCATTGATAACTGATAATCACATGATCTAACTGAATCCATGACTGGCGTATGCTCGGTGGCCTCCAAGTAACTCAGTGTGAGCCCTTGTGCTAACATTTCGTGCTGATCAGGAGTGGACCTTTTCGGCACACAACTGAAGACGTCCTCTATTATCCAATCGGTGAGCGTCGACTCCAAATCTGCCACCTAACTGTGCTTCCTGTGGCCTCAGTAGTCCAAAGTGGGTGTTTGTCACCCATCAGAATGGCAGTATCCATCCTTGCTGACCGATGCAGTCTTGGTAGACCTCGGTAAAGCCCTTTTTCAGCCTGAGAACTACAGTCTTTGAATGGTTATGGTGACAACAAAGGTAACACCGTTTTTCACATTGGTCTACGTGGGTTTTAAGTGGACCAAACAACCGTACAGAGCAAAGGAGACTGCCGATTGGAATGCAACCCACTAAAGCGCTTTTGGCCTTGGGGCTGAGTGCAACTCCTTCGAGCCGTTGTATCATTACCACCAGCTACCTGAAGTATGAAGTGTGAAACATTTGACTTCGTCCTAAGCGGCTTGAGGTTTATTATTGAAATGGCGTTTTGTGTGCCTGTTTCGCAGACATAATACATTGATAGAGAGAGGAAGCAAGGTTTCAGCAAGCGTTATCTGTTGCCCAATTTGACGGAGATCACGGATATTGAAATTTGCAATGTGGTTTAGCTCTTCTGAGCGGTTGTTTTGTTTTATTTTACTAGGTGATAGTTGGGATACAGAACTGTGGGTAGAGGACTGGCAGCTATATTGACTGCAGTGGGTCAGTCGAAGGTTAGAGAAGGGGTATGTGTGAGGGCCGGTTGACGAACAGCTGCTACTTTCCGTTTGCTCAGGCCGAAGAAGGGGGCTTGTTTGAGATATCCCACCTTGAGCCGTTGACTTGAAAATGTGACTCATAAGGCAATGAGTTGTAGAGTTCTCCTTTGGGGATCGGAACCAGTGACTCAGTTGTTTGGCCGGTTGTTCACGGGAGACCAGCCTAGACCGAGTGACCCAGATATGTCCCACTCCTGCTCCTGTGTATGCCAAATATGTTTGGAGCCGTATTGCCCTCTTGGTAGGTTTTAGTTGTATTTCGATTGCACTGGATAATTCACTAGCGGTCATGGTCAACCGCTGAGTGATTAGAATGTGCCATTCTCAGGGCCAGCGTTTTGCAATCCGTTCTTGATGCTTCCATCTGTATGCACTTGCTGGTCATCTGGGGGAAACAGTCTACTTCCTCCACACTCCTGTTGTTCAGGAGGCTAGGACTGTTGTTCCACAATGCCCTATCTTAAGGTTCAAGGGTCGTCTTTCTGTTTCCCTTTCGCCTTCCTGGCGTCATTATGGAACGGAGTTCCAGCCAATTTAGCTCGTAGGCTCAAAGCTCATACGTGACCTGCGCGTCAATGTGACGGTTTTTGATTGAGCGAAGTTCGTTATTAACAACCCTAGATCAGAAAAGAACCAGTTTGTCACTCGATATAATCTCTTGTCTTTGTGACGAACCTCTGCTTAAAAAACAGCTCATTTGAATAAATGCGAATCGTTTACATTCGCAGTGTTCTTAGGTTCGCCGAATCGTTTGACAATAGATAGTGTAGGATGAGGCACGATCATGAACGACGGAATAGTGGGTCGGCGACAGGACCATCGGTTGCGTTCAGGTGTACTATCGATGCATACCCTCAATCATCGATGTAGTAGGCTTCTAGTACCCTGATCCCACAGGCAGCACACCAGCATACCTAGGTTTCGTTTCTCTGATTTTCGTGCTTGTTCTCCAGGTGATGTGTCGCCCAGTTTGTGAATCCTTCAGCCAGAATATACCGTAGTAAACAGTTCATGACGACATTATCGAAGCTTATGCGATGCTCATGGCCGAACCATTGGTGAATTTTATCT